CCTGTATTGAATGCTGGCGCTGCAGGTAGCAGCTTTACTTGTTATACCACAACACCAACCCTTGACAGGATTAGGTTTGAAGGAAAATGAAAAGGAACCAAAATTGAAAGGAGGTAGGGATAGATGGCCTCTGCTTAGACATGGTAAACACCTTGTATGATTTGCTACACTGTGTGGGAATCCCATAGAATATGTTGGTTTTTTGTGTTAGTTAGCAAAGAGTTGATTTGATTCAACAGAGTTCTAGGGGTTGTGGTTTTTGAGTCAATTTGTTGCTGTCAGACTTTACACAGTTACTTGAATTTTTCCAACCTATATTTCACCCTATGGCCCTATGGAATTGGGCAGCAATCCCTTCTCTTTATAAAGTTCCTGTATATTTAGGGTCAGATTCCTGCCTGCCAACTGCATGGGTCTACCCAGAGTTCACAAATATGTTTCTTTTCTTCTTTTTGTAAAAGATATATTTGGACATCAGAATTATAGAGAGGGGAGAGGGAAAAGGGAAAAGAGAGAGTTGTCATCTGCTGGTTCATCCCTTAGGTGACCACATGGGCAGGGCTGGCCCAGGCTGCAGTCAGGAGCCAGGAATTCTATCTGGGTCTCCCATTTGGATTCAGGAGCCCAAGCCCTTGGGCTATCTTCTGATTTCTCAAGCACATTAGTGAAGAGCTGGCTGGGAACTAGAACTATATGCCGAGATTGCAGGCAGTGCTCACTCCTGTGCTGTAGACTGACCACTCCCAGAAACTTAGGGCATGTCCTGAATTCCTTCCACTTTGTCTTCTCAGTTCTCAGAGACTCTCTGCAGTTCCCCCTTTTAGTCTGGCTGTGGGAATGTAGGGATTATATTTGGCCCCACTCTGCTGTGACTCCTGGTGCCTTCCCATATGTAGTTCCTAAGGGCCCAAGCACAGAGAGAGAAGATAAAGTCATCCTGCCCCTGTGGAGCCACATGTTCTTAGCTTGGGGTTATGGGCCATCATGGGCTCCCTCTATCACTATTCCTGCAACCCCAAGAGTATTTTCACTCAGGAGCACAATGAATGAGGAAGAAGAAAATAGGGCAACTCCCCTTCCTGCCACCAAGCATTAGAAGTCCTTTACCTTCTCCTTGACCCAGACCTAGAGAGCCTTCCTATTGGAGCCTCCTGTCCCTGCCACCTGCAAAACCCAGTCCCCCACTATTTTTTTTTCTTTGATTTGGTCGTAATTTGTTTTGTTTTTACAAGTAGATTGGAGTGCATAAAGTTCGGAGTGAAAGGCCTGTGGCACAATTAGCAGCACCCAAGCTGAACAGAATCTGTGATTTATGAAAAATTTAAAGGTGGTTGGAAGCACAATGGGCCCCAGCCTCCCACAACACTGGGGCCCAGTAGGAAAGAGGAGTAAGGTCTCCAGGCCAAGGGCTCAGGGCTGAGGCTTAGTTGTAGATGCAGCAAGGCTTGTGATGATGGCTGTGATGGTGAGGCCCTGGGCAGCACTCTGGTGTGCATCATTAGCTGGGAGCACAGTTGTGGCCCCGGTGGAAGCAGTAGGGCTGGCTGTCGGTAAGGGCAGCTGTGTGCCCAGGCAGCATCATTGGGTTCTCACAGGTCTAGCCAGGGAACTTTCGTTTGAAGCTTTCTGAACCCCTGTAGACACTGGGGCTATACTGGAGTGAGAGGTAGAAGATTGGCACTCAGCTCTGCTTCCTGATGTGGTCCTCTTTGTGTGACTTAAGGTGAAAACTCAAGAAATACATTATAGGTCATAGTTATTTTCTGCTAAAAATATTACATCTACAGGTAACCATCTACATCTCTAACCATTGCTTTTACCACATTGTGTAAGATATTTTCTGTTTTCCATAAAGATATCTTCTTTGACTATTTGGAATTTAAGAGTTCACTGCTTCATATCCCAACACTTGGTTGGGGTTTTTTCCAAATAGTTAGAACTTAAGTTTCTGGGACCCTGCTACCCACGTGGGGGACTGGGAAGAAGCACCTGGCTCCCAGCTTCATATCAGCTTAGCTCTGGACATTACAGACATTTGGGGAGTGAATCAGCAGATGGAAAACCTTCCATGTAAAATCTCTCTCTCTCCTTCTCTCCCTGTAAAATCTGCCTTTCAAATAAAAATAAATAAATCTTAAATAAACAGAAGCATAGCATTAGACCAGGGTTGTGGTGGGTTAAGCCACTGTTTACGCTGTCAGTATCCTATATCAGAGTGATGGTTTGAATCCTAGCTGTTCTTCCAATCCGGTTCCCTGCTAATGTGCAGAAAATGGCAGAGTACTTGCTCCAGATGGATACAGTCTGTCTGTCTGTCTCTCTCTCTCTGTCCCCCTCTCAAATAAATGTATTTTAAAGAAAAAAAGAAAGAAATTGAGCGTCACTAGCATCTTTAAAAAATTATTTTTGCACCAGCGGAGTGGCCTAGAAACTAAAGTCCTCACCTTGAATGTGCTGGGATCTCATATGGGTGCCACTTCTAATCCCGGCAGCCCCACTTCCCATCTCTGCCTGTGGCCTGGGAAAGCAGTTGAGGACGGCCCAAAGCCTTGGGATCCTGCACCCATGTGGGAGACCTGGAGGAAGTTCCTGACTCCTGGCTTTGGATCGGCGCAGATCCAGCCATTATGGTCATTGGAAAGTGAAACAGCAGATGGAAGATCTTCCCTGTCTCTCCTCTCTGTATATCTGTCTTTGCAATAAAAATAATCTTTTTAATAAGTTGTTATTTTTATTGGAAAGGCAGATTTACAGAGAGGAAAGATCTATCCGCTGGTTCACTCCCCAAATGGCTCAGTGGCAAGAACTGAGCCAATCCAAAGCCAGGAGCCAGGAGCTTCTTCCAGGTCTCCCATGTGGGTACAGGTTCCCAAGGCTTTGGGCCATCGTCCACTGCTTCCCAGGCCATAGCAGGGAACTGGAACGGAAGAGGAGCAGCCTAAACATGAATTGGCACTCATATGGGATTCTGGCGCTTACAGGCAGAGGATTAGTGAGTTGAGGCATCATGCTGGCCCCTACTCCCTGGCCCCCTCTTCATTCCCATCCTCTTCCCTAGACATAGCACTGTTTCATGCTAATTCCTTTCATTTTTTTTTTTTTAAGATTTCTCAAATAGTTTATTCTCTGAGCACTGCTTATATTATAGGAACCAAGGATGTGACTTAAAAAACTTAAACACATTTTTGAGGCCCACTTCAATTCCTTAAAGCACAGTCCAATGAATAAACAATACAATTTCTACATCAAATACAAGTTAGTAAAATAATTCCCCAAGTAGTGTTGTATGAGCTACAACTTTACCTCAACTATATCATTATGATTTAAGATTTTCCAATATGCAACAGCACTAGACTCGGTGGTCACTACCTAGGCAAGAAAAAAACATATTACCAGCAAATATCAGAATTGAGATCATGGTTGTCTTGTTAAACTCTTCAGGTTAACCATATTTATTAGAGAAGTTAAGCAGAAAAACTGACGTCTGGGTTGCACTGTCCTAAACAGGAATTGCATCACATATGTAGAGGTCAAATACTTTTGATAAAATAACTTGGAAGGATCTATATATACCCTAAATTTAACAAAATACTTTTATTATGTACAGGAACCTAAATTATCTTAGGTTTAGGTAACTGATGAAGACAGCTGCGAAATAAATTTGTCAGAGCTGGTTTTCTATGAATATTAAACACCAGTCCCTGGTCTGAGATGCATTCGTCTATGTACATATTCAGACATTTTCAAGAAAAGCAAACAGCTGCAACTATCCACTCTATTCCATTTAAATTCTTTACTTAATGTCTCACATATTGAATAGAGCCCACACATTTCAGAGTGGGATCAGGCAATTTGCTTACATTTGAAGTCATGTGAAGCATAATGAAGCTGTGTGTGCTTACTGCTTTGGGTAGTTCATTTTGGTACTGCCAAGTTCTTTGGAAACCAGAAGAAAAATTAAATAACCCATACCATGCAGGTCCTTTTAAAAGCTGCACAGAGATTCCAGTGTGCCTTCAGCGACTTAGTTAGTGCAACCCCACTAGAGTTAATATATAAAAACTAAATAAGAATGAACCAAAATCCCAATATAAGAAAAAAAAAGTAAAATGCATTCTCATCACACAGAGCATGAATGCAGTTGGCAGCATATTTTCTTGTACTGATTTTCTATTCAGAAACTGGAGACTGCCTGTTTTATTATTTCTTTCTCTTTCCCTAGTTTAGGTATAGGTTGAAAAAAATAATTTATAGATACTTTAAAGCACTCAAAACTGTAGCTTACATATATATGATTTCTGAAAGTAACACTTCTAACATAATTCTTCTGTTCTGTAAAAATATTTTACAGAATGCATATAATCAATTTTTACTTGAGAAATTTCCTACCCATAGTTAAAAAAAATAGTCAAGACATGTATCAGTATCCCAAGGAAAACTGTGTGGCACCTAGTGTTCAATCTCTGTAACTGCTAATCTTACAAATTCACAATTATTAAAACCCAGTTTTTAAAAACTGTATTTTAAAAATGCTTCACATAAATTCAGGGCAAAATAATATGAAAAGAATGTATATGATACCAAAATTAGTATAAAAATAGCCATATTCTACCTAAATATGAAAAACAGACCTATTTTTTTAAACTTCAAATGCAGGTTTGTCTCCTTTATATTTTATTAAAATCTCTAGAGAACACCTAGGTAACTAGAGTATACAGAAAAACCGTAGTCTAGTCCAAAAACTAGGATTTATGCAGAATCCATGAGAACAACACAAACGGCTTATGGAAAACATCTATTTACTCAAAGGAAGTGGCTAAAGCAAGAAAGGTAGTAATGCAATTTCTTTTACAGATGTGATCTACCCATAATCTCCATTAAATCAAAAGAACAGGTGGGCTTAACATCCCACTTAAGATTGTCATTACCCAATTTTCAAAGCAACAAACACCTTAGAAATAATAAATCAGTCTGCCTTAACAGTCATGCCAATGAAATCCAAACTGTATGGCAACCTTCAGAAAAACTGGAATGTAAAATGTTGGGTTTCATTTAGATATCATCAATGTCTTCATCATCGTCTCCAATGTCATCAAACTGGATTTCATCATCATCTCCAGGACCAAATGTATCCGTTTCATTGATTTTCGCATGCTCTGGAAGCTCGCCATATGCTTTCAGGCTTCTGGCTTCATCTGCATTGTACTTTAAAATTACATCAGCCTTGTTATCCTGATAGTCTCGGAGGCCAACCAATATAATGTCTGAGGTATTTATCCAAACTTTTTTTCTCAATTTCCCTCTGATGTGACACAGCCTCTTTATACCATCAAAACACATTGCTTCTAACCGTCCATTCCCCAACATTTTGATTACTTGAGCGTACTCTTGTCCATCTTCTTTGAATACTAGTTCTCTTTTTTCAGATTCATTTTCATTCTTACCTCTGCGCCTGTTTTTACCTCCTTTGCCTTTGTTCTTTGGCATGGCGGCGACGGTGACCTCGTGGCCTTTCTAATTGGGTGCTGGTGGTTGGTGGCGGCGCGGCCTTGTCCTGGGTTCACTCGGAGGCTGATAGGCTGGAGTAAGACACAGCGCAGGAGGGGAGCAGCGCGTGCAGGAGCCTCGGGATTGGCCTCTCCCAGGACGATGGCTTCTCCCAAGATGGTGGTCAGCTTCTCCCAAGATGGTGGTCGGCTTCTACCAGGATAGTGGTCGGCTTCTCCCAAGATGGTGGTCGGCTTCTCCCAGGATGGTGGTCGGCTTCTCCCAGGATGGTGGTCGGCTTCTCCCAGGATCCGCCGTCAGCTTCTCACAGGATGGCCGTCAGCTTCTCACAGGATGGCCGTCAGCTTCTCTCAGGTTGGCGGTCGGCCTCTCGCGGGATGGTGGTCGGCCTCTCGCGGGATGGTGGTCGGCTTCTCTCGGGATGATGGTCGGCTTCTCACAGGATGGGAGTCGGCTTCTCGCACGATGGCGGTCAGCTTCTCCCAAGCTCCACCGTGCCTAGCTCGGCAGCAGCAAATGGCGTCACAGCCGCCTGCGTAGCTTTGTCCCGCCTCTCGCTGCCACTTCCGGAGGCCCGCTTCCTGCCTCTGCAGCACTTGCGTGGTCGGCCAACCTTTACGTTAAGGCCGAAGCCACAGGTTCTTATTCCTTTCACTTTTAAAAACCAGTACTGATCTCTACAGTCACTACATACTATGTTCCAGTCTGTTTTGAAACTTAATCAAAATGCGATATTCCATATATGGTTTTCTAAACTTTGGCTTAAATACTTATTCAATATTGATATATGTATCTTAGTTTATGTCCACTTACGTAAATTATCCCATTGTATAGGACAGTTTATTTATCCATTCTGTTTTTGATGGACTTTGTAGTTATTTCTAATTTTTTTTCTATTGTACCCAGTACTATGTTAAAAAGAATGACTCTGAGTATACCTCTGCAAGGTGGATGAAGTTCAGTATATATACTTGGTAGTAGCCTTGATAAAATAATCTAGGTGTCTATTCAAGGTTGTACTGAAATAATTTTCCAATACTTGTCCAAATTACACTCCTAGAAGTGTGGCAGCTTCCATTGAGGAAGCTATCAGTCTGACATTCAGTGTGTTTTTTTCTTTTTCTTCTTTTTTTTTTTTTTTTTGGAAAGGCGGATATACAGAGAGGAGAGACAGAGAGGAAGATCTTCCGTCCGATGATTCACTCCCCAAGTGACCAAAACGGTCGATGCTATGCTGATCCGAAGCCAGGAGCCTCTTCCGGGTCTCCCACACGGGTGCAGGGTCCCAAAGCTTTGGGCTGTCCTCGACTGCTTTCCCAGGCCACAGGCAGGGAGCTGGAAGGGAAGCGGGGCTGCTGGGATAGAACCGGCGCCCATATGGGATCCCGGGCGTGCAAGGCGAGGACCTTAACCGCTTGCGCCACTGCGCCGGGCCGGTTGTGTTTCTTTATTTATTCATTCCTTTCTTTCCTTTCCTGCCCTGTCTTTTCCTTCCTCCCTCTCCTTCTCTTTCTCTCACTTTTAGCTTGATGTCTTGTAATGATGGGCAGCATTTAAGTACTCTGTGTCTAATCTCCCTTTTAGTTTTTGTGCCTTTTTTTCCCTCTCATTCTCCTGCTCTTTAAAAATGTATTTCCAGAATCTCTGCATAGTTTCAAAATCTAATATTTTCCACATGTCATTTCCCTTTGGTTGAAGCAGCTCTGTCTGCGCTTTGTATTTGCTTATTTTTTAAAAAGATTTATTTCGGGCCCGGCGCAGTGGCGCAAGTGGTTAAGGTCCTCGCCTAGCATGCCCGGGATCCCATATGGGCGCCGGTTCTAATCCCGGCAGCCCCGCTTCCCTTCCAGCTCCCTGCCTGTGGCCTGGGAAAGCAGTTGAGGACAGCCCAAAGCTTTGGAAACCTGCACCCGCGTGGGAGACCCGGAAGAGGCTCCTGGCTTCGGATCGGCATAGTATCGACCCGTTGTGCTCACTTGGGGAGTGAATCATCGGACGGAAGATCTTCCTCTCTGTCTCTCCTCTCTGTATATCCGCCTTTCCAATAAAAAAAAATAATAATAAAAATAAATCTTTAAAAAAAAAAAGATTTATTTCATTTTATTGTATTTGTTTAACAGCATTTCTGAAAGCATTCCCCTCTGCCCTTCATTGTATTCTGGGAAGCAATTCATTTCCAAAGGACGCATATTAGGTGACTGGATGTGACTGTAGTGAGGCAGGACAAGAAGCTGCCTCCAGTTATTGTGTTGCTTGCTTTGCTTTTTTTTTTTTTTTCATTAAGCGGTAAGTATGTTTGTGAGGTGGCATTTGCTCATCTTTTTCTGCTTCCTCTCTTTTGATATCAGCAGGGCAGGTTGGATGGGAGAGGCCTGTTCACACATGGCTTGGGTTCACTGGTTCCATGCTGGTTTCTCTTCTGTTGACTTTGATCAGCAGTCATAAAGCTGAGACTCAGATTCTAGCACCCCATCCTTTGCCTCTCATTGCCTCCAGGCCATTTTGACTGAGATAAGACATGCGATCTGAGAAAATATAAGTCTAAATGATGACAGTATTCTTCCTATAGCTCCTCTTAAGAGTCTAGCCAATCCTCCTTTGCCTGCACCACCAGCAGTTCTCATTTTTAAGGCATGGATATTTAGGAGATGATAGGAGGGTTTTTTAAAGGGCTTCAAGGTGTTGGATCTAAGAACATTACAGTACAGCTTGATTAAAGTCCAAGGGGGAAAAGCTTTATGGTATCTTATCTTCCTTCAGGATTTAAGTTTCAGTATATTCTAATACTTTTATGTTTCATATGACACTGTTTCCTAAGAGTATTTTATATTTCGTATCTTATCCCTTACCATCTGTTGGACTCTAGTGCCAACAGTCTTTTCCTTGTGTCACACTGTGGGTTTTTTTGTTTTGTTTTAAAAATTTTAGCTTTAAAAAAAAAGATTTATTTATTTTTAATGCAAAGTCAGATATATACAGGAGGAGAGACAGAGAGAAATATCTTCCATCCGATGATTCACTGCCCAAGTGACCACAATGGCTGGTGCTGTACCCATCAGGAGCCAGGAGCTCTTCCAGGTCTTTCACGCGGGTGCAGGGTCCTAAGGCTTTGGGCCATCCTCAGCTGCTTTCCCAGGCCACAGGCAGGGAGCTGGATGGGAAATGGAGCTGCTAGGATTAGAACCGGTGCCTATATGGGATCCTGGTGCGTTCAAGGTGAGGACTTTAGTCGCTAGGCCATGACGCTGGGCCCATTGTTCTGTTTTGTTTTAAAGATTTATTTTATTTTTATTGGAAAGTCAGACAGAGAGAAGGAGAGACAGAGAGCAAGATCCTCCATCTGATGACTCACTCCCCAAGTGACCACAATTGCTGGAGCTGTGCCGATTCAAAGCCAGGAACCTGGAGCTTCCTCTGGGTCTCCCATGCAGATGCAGGGTCCCCAGGCTTTGGGCCTTCCTCAACTGCTTTCCCAGGCTACAAGCAGAGCTGTATGGGAAGCAGGGCTGCTGGGGGTTAGAACCAGTGCCCATATGGGATCCTGGTACGTGCAAGGCAAGACTTTAACTGCTAGGCTATCATGCCAGGCCCTTGTGGTATTTTACAAAGATTAATTGGGCACAGAATTCTAGAGGGAAGACGTGGTTGGTTGCCATATGAGGTCCTGTGTGATAGGGCTTTCTGATGACATGTTTTTTTGCTTCTATCCTCATTATTTAGCGTAGCCCAGTGCTCCTTTTCTTCTTGGGTGAGTCTTCTCTGTTCACTCAGAGGATCTACCATCCTGTCCTTCTGGCCCAGTTCACTGTTCTTTCTCTCCCTTCTCATTTCTTTGCCTGACTACAAAGCTTTTCAGTGTTCCCACTGGTTTTGATATAGTTTTTCTCAATCCCTCTTCACAAAGTTTTCAGTCTCCCATTTGGAAACAAGTATACATTTGAATTTTTAACTTTTTTTCTTTTCCAGACTGGGAGACAAGACTTGAAACCAAAGAGCCAACTCCAAAACCAAACTTTACTGAAGATTCCTCCAATGGGGTGATGGAAAGGGAAGGTATGTGGCATTCTACATTATGGCACAACTGAGAAAATGATACTTGGGGTGAGGCCCCACAGAAAAACCAGGATAGACAGTTGGACCAAGTACCAGTTACCCATAAGGAAACACTCATTGGAAAGAGGGTTTTAGGAGATAATGAATTTAAATTACGTTCCAGTCAGGGTTCACTATGAAGAAAAGACCTCATAATTGGAATTCCCATGGAAAAGACACTAAGCAAAATTTTGAGTTAATAAGGACTCAAAGAATGTTTGTGGGGAAGAAAATCTATGAATGTAATGAATGTGAGAAAACCTTTAGTCAGAGCTCATCCCTTCTCAAGCACCAGCGGATTCATACTGGAGAAAAACCCTATAAGTGTAATGAATGTGGGAAGCACTTCATTGAACGTTCTTCCCTTACCATACATCAAAGAATTCATACCGGAGAAAAACCCTACAAATGTAATGAATGTGGGAAAGCCTTCAGTCAGAGCATGAATCTTACTGTTCATCAAAGAACTCACACTGGAGAGAAACCCTACCAGTGTAAAGAATGTGGAAAATCCTTCCGTAAGAATTCTTCCCTTATTCAACATGAAAGAATTCATACTGGAGAGAAACCTTATAAATGTAATGAATGTGGGAAAGCTTTTACCCAAAGCATGAATCTTACAGTTCATCAAAGAACTCATACAGGAGAAAAACCCTATGAATGTAATGAATGCGGAAAAGCCTTTAGTCAAAGCATGCATCTTATTGTTCATCAGAGAAGTCACACTGGAGAAAGACCATATGAGTGTAGTGAATGTGGAAAATCCTTTAGTAAGAGCTCAACTCTTACACTACATCAGCGAAATCACACTGGAGAAAAACCTTACAAATGTAACAAATGTGGGAAATCCTTTAGCCAAAGTACATACCTTATAGAACATCAGAGACTTCATTCTGGAGTGAAACCTTTTGAATGCAATCAGTGTGGGAAGGCTTTCAGTAAGAATTCATCTCTTACTCAGCATCGGAGGATTCACACTGGAGAAAAACCTTATGAGTGCATGGTATGTGGAAAACATTTCACTGGAAGATCATCACTTACTGTACATCAGGTTGTTCACACTGGAGAGAAACCTTATGAATGCAACGAATGTGGAAAGGCCTTCAGCCAGAGTGCATACCTGATTGAACATCAGAGAATCCATACTGGTGAAAAGCCCTATGAATGTGATCAGTGTGGAAAAGCCTTCATTAAGAATTCATCCCTCATAGTGCACCAGAGAACTCACACAGGAGAGAAACCCTATCAGTGTCATGAATGTGGGAAGGCCTTCAGTCGGAGTACAAATCTTACCCGGCATCAAAGAACTCACATGTGAGGAAAATTTTCATTGGCCTCTTCATTAAGATTAACTCAGTTATAATCATATAGGTTATGTAATGGAGAAGCTGATTAAATGTAATGATGGTTAGACGCTTTTAAAGTAAAATATACCATGTTGAAAATACAGACCAGTGCCAAAAAAACATATAAAAGTTATAGAATTTTTCATTCAGAAAGTACAATGTATGAGAAGGTTGAAGTAGCTAATGTTACAAATATGAAGACTCAAGCTGAAGATAAGTCTAGTTGTATCATACCACATATGTTAGGAGCCACAGACTTATGAGCCTTAGACTTGGCCTACCTGACAGCCTGTTGCATTGCTAAGCTTGCTTTGGGCAAGCAGGATATTAGGCCAGAACATCCTGGGTAAAGCAAGCAGAATAGAACCTCTACCCTTGTTCCTGTTCAGATGATTAGTTCCTCCCCTGTTTCAATATAGATGATTAGTTCCTTCCCTGCTTCAATGAAGATAATTACTTCCAGGAAACCCTTCCCCTTCCCCTCCTCCACTAGAGAAGGTATATGTGTAAGGTGTAAAATAAAGAGCATGAGGCACTCTTTTCCACCAAGTATATGTGTCCGTGTTTTTCTTGGGCCAGCAGCCCGGGGGCTAGCAGCTGGGTATTCCCAGTCCACCCTCAGGGTTTGAGCGTCATGTCCTGCAGGAAGGGACACACAATGTCTATGAATATCATAGACTTCACACTGGAAAGAAAATGTGAGTTTAACTTGGTGATCCAAAGACCTGCTATGTAGTCATGATCTGCCATTAATTTGGACAAGTCACCCTCTCTATGCAGGTCTGAGTTTCCTTATCTGGTAAGCGAGAGAGTTTGGATTCATAGGGTTATTAAGATTCCTGTTAGAAAACATGTTACAAGCCTATAGATACAGTTAATGCCAAGAAATTCTTGATTTTTTTTTTTTTTGACCATTGTATGTGTTATCCTGAAGCTCTTGTTTCTCAGACATTTAGGATCAACCTTCTCTACCTCTACCAATTCTTCCTATTGGCCAGCCACCTCTTCCTACCCGCCCCCCCATAATTTTCTTTCCTAATATATGCATATTCCTCCCAGGTGGTGAAATAATTGTACAAATCTTAATGCAATTGCATGCTATTTTGAGTTCTCAAATACTAGTCATTAAATTGCTCAATAAGCTCATGATTTAGAATCCTGTTAACACAAATATAGCTTTTAAATACCTAGGAATCCAATAATAAGTACATAGCTTTGTGTCATATTCTGGCCATCAAAGTGGAAGAGAGAAGGAACTGAATACTAGAGGATGTGGAAATTTGGATGTCACCTGCATTGGAAGAGCTGGTAGTGAAGAAAGAGTAAATGCAGATGCCTGTAGGTGGCAGTAAGAGAAGTGGTCCTCAAATGCCATTGTCTCAACCTTACACTGGGCTCTGATTTCCCAAGGTCTTCTCAGGTCAACGCTCACCAAATATTTGCACCCCTCCTCAGCTTCAATACCCTTTCTGTATCTCCCCTTTGTCTTTTTCTTCCCTTTGAGCCTTCATATCACTGCTATCTTTTAAAATCCTACCCATATTTTCTTTGCCTTTTTCTCTTTACTTCCACCCCCTGACAGCAAGTGAACAAGAAAAAATAAATACAAGGAAGGAAAAAGGCTTATTTTTGTTATGTGCTTTCATTTTGTCTGTGAAGCTTGCCCCTCACCACTGTTACCACCACTAAAAGGACTTCCAGGGACACTGTCCATCTCTTCACTGAGGATTGGCTGCTTTTGCTTACAGTTAAATACGCACATGATCCAAGCTGTACTAGCCCTCATATCTAGTGACCTTTCAGTTTCCTTGGGACCTCTAAGTCTCTGTCCTAATTTTAAAATTCCATGAGAGAAACCTGGATGGGTCAGGTCATTTTTTAAAGATAGGTCTCTTAAATCACTGTCTAGGACCTTCCCTTTTCCAGTCAGCTACTGGGAAGGAGGGCTGCCATGTAATCACTGTGTATTCAGTTGGACTTGTGCTAATAAGCAATGACGAGTGTGACCAATCTGTCAATAGATACTTACTGGGTACCTATTCAGTAGTTTCTGGGCACCTATTCACCTCTAAATGAGCTCATGGTAGGGAAGTCAGAAATAAAAGAAATGAGGGTATAACTGCATGATTTGTAAACTAGCAAGGAACAGGACCCTCTGAAACTACTCACAGCACATGCTTGGAGCTTGTTTCTCTATGACTGTGTCATCACTGAGAAGACAGATGCAGCCACTTCCTTTATTGATGCCCTGCTAAATGGCATCAATAAAGGCATTGATAGGGGCTACCAATGAGGACAGTGTAAGTGGTGGAGTTTCAGGGCACAGTGCCAGAACCTCTCCCCTAGACTGTGTACATACAATCCCCAATGCCTCAATGCATATGGGCACTGCGCTTGGCTCCTGAAAAAAAATGCCAACATCAGGCCGAACGCAGTGGCCCAGCGGCTAAAGTCCTCGCCTTGAACACTCTAGGATCCTAAATGTGCGCCGGTTCTAATCCCGGCAGCTCCACTTCCCATCCAGCTCCCTGCTTGTGGCCTGGGGAAGCAATCCAGGACAGCCCAAAGCCTTGGGACCCTGCACCCACGTGGGAGCCCTGAGGAAGTTCCTGGCTCCTGGATTTGGATGCACCGGCCATTGCGGTCACCTGGGGAGTGAATCATTGGATACAAGATCTTCCTCTCTGTCTCTCCTCCTCTCTGTATATCTGACTTTGCAATAAAAATAAATACATCTTTTAAAAAAATGTCAGCAGATCTAGAGAAAGAGGGAAAAAACATGCTGAATGCTTGGGTCATAGGTGAAGTTGGCTATTCTCTCTACTGATACATACATCGGGTATAATTCAGTACCTGCCTACAGTTGACAGACTCATTGGCAGATGCCAATGTAGTTTTTTTTTTTTATGCAACTAACATTTACTGAGTCCCTAGCATAGGTCAGCATCTATGAACTTCAGGATAAATGATCCCTTGTGCTATTGTAAGGTAGCTCCTAGCATAGGATGCCAGGGGAGTGAAACAGTTGAGTGCAGAGAAGGTGGGAGTAGGGAAGAGCAACCATAGAGAAAAGAAGGTATTGCACATTGTACTCACATATTTTGGGAACCGTAGAGGTAGATGACTTGAACATTTAGTAGAGATCAAGAAGTAACAGGAGGGGCCAGTGCTGTGGCTTGACAGGCTAATCCTCAGCCTGCTAGTACTTTTAACTCATATGGATAACAGTTTTAGTCCCAGCTGCTCCACTTCCAGTGAGCTTCCTCTCTGTGGCTGGAAAAGCAGTAGAGGATGGCCCAAAACCTTGGGATTCTGCACCTGCGTGGAAGACCTGGAAGAAGCTCCTGGCTTCAGATCAGCTAAACTCCAGCTGTTGTGGCCAGTCAGGGAGTAAACCAGCAGATGAAAGATCTTTTTCTGTCTCTCCTCTCTGTAAATCTGCTTTTCAGATAAAAATAAATAAATCTTAAAAAAAAAAAGTAACAGGGAAATGAAGCTAAAGGAAGCTATTGTTAATATCACAATGCAAGGGGCTTCTAGCAGGCTTCAGCAGGTGAACTCAAGAACTAGTTAGTAGCAGCCTGCATGCAAAGGAAAAGAAAATGTGTTAAGACACACTGATAATGAGTCTTGGGAAAATGTTAAGTATGCATTTGCATATCCGTAATTAGTAGAGAAGATCACAATGTAACATCTCTGTGAGGACATTAGCCTTTAGTAAGAGTCCTTTTGTGTGTTTGGAGATGGGAGTGGGAAGGCTGCTCTAGTGAATGTTGGAAATAGTAAATAAAGTGAGTCCTGGCCTATAGCAAGAGGGTGTACTCCTTCTCTTTGGGTTCGGTATTTCTTCCCGATTTTATCCCAACTTTCCCTCCTCCAATTCCTTTTTAATTGCTTCTAGAAGCTTAGGTACTCCCCACAGACTACAACAGAATCCGGGAGAAATGGGTTGGATAATGGTGGTTTCATTGCCTTTTTAAAAGCTTTTAGAAGACCTGGGCCTTTGTATGTCAGCTGTAAGCCACCATGAGCAACAAGAAATGAGGTCACCTTTGTGTCTTTCCTGCATTCCATGAGAACAGGACTCCTAGTTCCACTTTCAAGGACCAGGGGCCAGGCATGCAGTGCCTTCGCTTTCTCATTTACAAACCTCAGAGCTTGGATCGTGTCAGTTACACTGCAAACTGCTTACAAAAGTGCCCCAAGGAGAGCCAGGCTGGGCTAACTGACTGTATCCACTGGTGTATGCATAAGCCAGAGTAAGCGCAGGCTGGTTGAGCTTTGCCACAGCATCAGATGGCAAGTACTGGGCCTGAGGCAAACCTGTAAAGCTAGACTGCAGAACCATGTGGAGTGCAAGGCTAGGAGTGGGCCTAGTAGGGAAACTGTGGGCACCTCTCTGATGGGCTGCAACTCTCACAGGTAAGCAGAGAACCAGGGCTGGGAGCAGGTCTGGCTAGACTGGTGGTGGCACCTGCTGGCATGAGTGTAGGCTGGATAGTAGGGTGGGTTGGGTTGAGCTAGGCTACAATGCCCATTGATGTGTGAGAGTTGAATGGGACATGGGATTGACTGTACCAGTTCATTACACATATTGGCAAGCATAGGACCCAGGGCTGGGGGCGGGCTAGGTGGGGGTTTTGGGGAGTTGCTCCAACTAGGCCAGAGTGTTGTAGGTAATGTTTGGGTTGGGGTGCAGTATCCATTGGTGTACCTAAGAGATGGGGCTGGAGACAGAACTGGTCCAGTAATTGCAACTACCAGTGTGTGCATAGGCAGATGTGGGTGATGGATAGAGCTGGACCCCATATTGACAAGCACACCTGAGTCAGGTCTACGATCACTTCAGACAAGGTTTCTTTGGGGATTTCCCCCAACTGAACCCCGGACTCAGCTTAATCATGGGGAGAATTACAGGTTCCGTGATCTGACCATTGAGTGTATGTGTCAGAGCTGGGCCTCCTCAGTGGCTTAGATGGAGCAGTGGACAGCATACCCAGATGCACATGGAGGATATGGCAGTACACTGGAGTCCGCAGAGGACATCTGGTATCATAACAGAGTAAGGTGGGCAGAACAAATTGGTCAGATACTGCAGTGAAGCTTGACAGCAAATTCCTGGGCAAATGGAGACTCTAACATGGACTATGTCAGCCAATGGACCTTGGAAGGATTTCCTCATCCTTGGATTGGCAATATTTGCAGCATTTCAGAACTATTGAACTATTGAAACTACTTGAGCAGAACCCTCAGAACATGCTCTATATTGGGAACCCTGGGATGACACTGGGTGGCTGTTACCCATACCTGGGTACTAAGGCAGTTGGGAGGCTGAGTGTGGCTACTCCCCTTATCTCCCCCTCTCCCTCAAATACAGGAAAACAAAAAAAGAATATGGGATGGTGTCACCCACTTTCTCCTATCCCTCTATCCTCCCCAACCTAATCAACTATGTAAACATAAAAAACTGTGCCCCAAATGTGGTCAACCCAAAATGTAGTATATTATATTTTATATACCTGAAAACAAAATACCCAGACTCAACAGTGTGGCATCCAGAATTCTTTATTATCTTAGAATTGTTAGGCTATCAAAATACAGATGCTTTGCAGAGGCTCTCAGTGGCTGGTACTGTGGTATAGCCAGTAAGCCACAGTAAAGCTGGTACCTGTGGCTGCAACCGGCAATGCTTTCACCCCATATGGGTGCTAATTTGAGTTCCCGCTGCTCCACTTGTGATCCAGCTCCCTGCTAATGGTCTGAGAAAAGCAGAAGATGGTCCTGATGTTTAAGCCCCTGCCACCCACGTGAGAGATCTGGAAGAAGCTCTTAGCTTCAGCCTGGCTCAACACTGGTTGTTGAGGCTATCTGGGGAAGAAACCATTAGATCAAAGATCTGTCCGTATTTATCTCTCCCTCTGTAGCTTTCAAATAAATATTTGAAATTGAAATGAATTGAATATATATTTTTAAAGTTAGATCATTGTGAAGGCCACCCCATCCCACTCTGATTCCTGGAGCAGCTTTTCCGGGGTTTCCCCTCAGCTGACAGTCATTTTATGAAAATGTGCCCAGCCGTGTTGGGTCCAATGGTTTGCCATCACACAGAATGACTCCAAAGTTCCTACATGTTTCCCGTCACACGGAATGACCCCAAAGTTCCTACATGGACTTCAGGGCCTCTAGTTACCCTAGCTCCAACCCCACCATATCTTCTCCCTTGTTCACTGTGCCATGGCCAGTCACGCTGGCCTTGCTAAGCCTCAGCTTCACACTTGTCTTGTGACAGCATTCCTGCTCCCTCAGCTTAGCCCTTCCCTGGGTATTGAGATGGTGTTCAAGCCTTCACATGCCCTCAGTGTTCATGTCTCTGTTCAGATGTTACCTCTGAGACAAAGAAACATCCCCAAATGCGACTTAAATTCCTCCCACCACACTCTACCTGCCTGTAATACACTCATTCCCTAGAACGATTCCTTCTGCTGCACTTCAACCTGGTCTCCTAAACCCGGGTCTTCTATTGCGGTTCTCTAACCTTTAGAATGAGAATGACGCCGACATGGAGGTGCTCCATTAAGTGTCTTCAGTAAGACCCTAAACAGAATGCTGTAGTGCCATATAAATAAGGTCTCTGGTATTGTTTCCCCAAAGCGGTAGTCCAACAATTCCCTAAGCAACACATCACTGACCAAGTTAGAATCCTCACCTCTCGTCTTTCCTTCTGAGTCCGATGAAAACTCCAAGTTTAAAAGTCACTAAGTATCTCCAGTGGAACTTCCCCTGTGCCTTACCTCATCTTTGCCAGCCTACAAAGTCATCGGTCCACGGGGCCAGGGCCGCCTTCTGCAAACAGGCCCCTTCCTCTCGACACCCCCTCAGCCTCGAGATCCGGGTCGCCCCCACTTCCTTCCCGTGGCCACCCCTAGGCTCTGTGCCGTCATCCCCACCCCTGCAAGCGGGGGTCCCTCTCGTGTCCGGGCCAAGCCCTGGCCAGCCGCCCGGTCGCATAGCGAGGGCTCGGTGCCTGTCCGGGCCACGCCCGCCAGCTTTTCATCCCTCTGCGCGGTTCTCAGAGACGGACTTCCAATCCGCTCCCGTCCCCGGCTCAGGCGTCGCTCCCTTGGACTAATCTCTCTTACCCCTCTGTCCATTTTTCCCAGTCTATAGTTACACGGACATTATTTCAAGGCAGACACCTAGTCCAGACCAGATCAGAACGGAACCGAAATACTACCTGGAGGGTAGGGGATTAGTAGCACCTAGGACGGCCCCGGCCGCGCAGAGGCCCCTGGGAAGTGTAGTCCAGCACCCGAAGCCGCTGGGGCAGGGCCGTGTCTGCGCAGGCGCACACCGCTACCGCCAGCACCGCGGCAGCCGCCCCCGGTCCCTGTGGGCCGTGGAGTCTTGGAAGCTGAAGTGCTGCAGCCCACAGACTTGTGGGATTTCTGGCTCGCCTGAGCCCTGTGCAGCGCGCAAGCGCAGTTAGATGCAGGCTGCATACTTGGGCTCATTGTGCTCCGTGACTGCGATGTGCTGGTTGCGATCCCTCGCCGCCGGCGGAGGCCCCGCGAAGGGCCGCTGGCTGCTGACCCGGCGCGAGGGCCGAAGCCGCGCAGGCGGGGAGTGGGAGCGGCCTGGGGTGGGGTGGGCCAGCCTGGGCAGAAGAGGGGGCGGGGGAGCCGAAGAGGTCCGCGTGGCGGTAGGTGCCGGAGCATGTCCATCTACTAATGCCGCCAACTTCCCGGGACGTGTCTCCTGAGGCACGACTCCAAATCGGAAAGAAAAAAAAAAAGGAAAAGGGAGGCGGGAGAGCGTCCGGATTGGGAGGCTGGAGGAGTCTTGGTCTTTCGGCTCCGAGTGCTGAGTGCGTTTGCTGGATGGAGCGGGATGGGGTTTCGGAGACGGAAGCCAGGTTGCGCTCGGCGGTGGTAGCTACTTTCTCCCCAGCGTGGTTGGAGTCCTGTGTGGACACGGGGATGTGTCAAGAGGACTCCTAACTGGCCTGCCCCCCCAGAATCTCCGGTAGACTACTTCTGGCCCACGTTAGGTAGCGGGTCGCCCCAAAGGGGTGGATCTTCAGTACAGCTTAAGGGAAGAGGGAGGGGTGGTGGAAATCTTCTGAAGCAGACCTGGAGCAAGAGGTCCAGAGGGGAAAACTAAAGGGGTGAGGGTACTCTAGTGGGGAGTGGAGGCCAATGGGAGGTGGGCTCTGAGAGGCGTGCCCCCAGGTGGTAGCTGTGACCCAGTTCTGCCTTCCCAGAAGTTGTGTAGAATTTACCAGCCGGCTCTGCACCCCGCTCTCCCGCACTTGGCCTGTCCCTGAGCTGGGTTCTCCAGAAGCAATGGCTGTCAACCACCTCCCCACCGCAGCCCAGGTAAGTAGGGAGTCGCTGGGGAGTGTCTTCTTCTTCATTGTTCTCCTGGGTTTGTTTCCCGTTTCCTTCCCCTGACCCGGAGGATTACTTCCAGTTTGAGCTCCTGCTGATGCCTGATACCCCATCCCCTACACCATTGCTCCCTCCCACCCTGTTGGGCAGTCCAGGGTGAGTGTTGACACTGAGTTACTCCTGAAGAAAACCCAGGTTTGTCTGAAATGAGAATCGCTTGGTCAGATTGATTTCTTTCTGGTTTTTTTTTTTTTTTAAGATTTATTTTTTATTGTAAAGTCAGATATACAGAGAGGAAGAGAAACAGAGAGGAAGATCCTCCGTCCAATGATTCACTCCCCAAGTGACCGCAATGGCCTGTGCTGTGCCGATCCAAAGCCAGGAACCCAAATCCTCTTCCAGGTTTCTCACATGGTTGCAGGGTCCCAAGGCTTTGGGCCATCCTCGATTGCTTTCCCAGGCCGCAAGCAGGGAGCTGGATGGGAAGCAGGGCTGCTGGGATTAGAACCAGTGTCCATATGGGATCCTGGTGCGTGCAAGGGTAGAGGCAGCAGGGCTGGGCAGTTTGCAGGAGACAGGACTAAACGAGCAGCCAGCCTGCAGCCCAATGCTAAGGAAGCATCGTCACCATCCACAGTGTCTTCCAAGCAGGGAACAAGCCTTCTGCAAAACAGGAGCCCCTACAGCACCAGTTGCCTGCATGCTACCAGCCCTGCCTATCCACATGAGCTCCTAGAGGCTGCCAGAGCTTTCCCCGAGAGAGAAGCGGTGAGGCAGAGCCCTGGCCATTGAGAACAATGTTGCTGTTGCAGGATTTGGTGACCTTCAAGGATGTGGCTGTGCTCTTCACTCGGGAAGAGTGGAGGTTTCTGACCCCTGCCCAGAGGACCCTGTACCAGGACGTGATGCGGGAGAACTACAGCCACCTGGTCTCTCTGGGTAAGGCAGGGAGCCTTGGAAGCTTTACCTGCTAGGACCCTCACCCTGGTAATGGGACTGGAATTGGGGTAGTTGAGGATGCTGGATTAAAGCTACATTTGCCAGCCTATGACCTCCACAGGCCTCTTTTGGGTTCAAGTTCAATGAGTAGCTCATGAGGGACTGCAAGTTGAACCCGTACTCCCTGGGGAACAGGTCATGTCGGCTTGGGCATCTCCTGCAGTTAGGTTATTACCCTGGGCCTCTGGGTCAGTCTCCATTCCCAGAAGGTTCCCAGGATCTGATCTTATTCTTGCGATGATGTTCATCTCTGCCATGAAGTGATACACGGTCTTTTTTTTTTTTTTTTCAAAAACAGGACTCTTACGACCCAAGTCAGACATATTTTCTCAGCTGGGAAAAGGGGAGGAATGGGTCCCAGTGGATGCCTCGGGAGACTTCTGTCTTGGTAAGAACCACACATGTGTAGGTGAGAGGGTCATAGGGGGCGTGAGGGGACATGTGAGGTTCAGCAAACACCACCAGGCTGTTCTCTGAGAAGCAGGCATGTGTTACCTCCTGTTGTCCTCAGGACTGTCTTGTTACTTCTCTCCCAGCATGCACTGGTGAACTCAGGCACTCACTTCCTGGGGTAGCTGGTGCCTCTCAGAACCTGGCCTTGCAGGGCTGCCCTTGTACTGGAGTGTCCTGCCAGTCAGCTGTGACCACGCAGTGTTGTGTCAAGGTAGCTCCCTCAGGGACCCATTGCCTGAAAAGCATCCTTCTAGCTAAACATGCCTCTTGTGTTCACCTGCCTCTGTGTTTGTTTATCCACCTGGATGAGTGTTCACTCAGAGTCTGACATCCTCTCCCTCAGGCTTGGCACGCGCAGGACCAAGCTGGTGATCTGTCTTGCCATGTCACATCCCACTCGTTGCTTGACAGATGGTGGTGGCATGGACTTTAGAAATACAGAGAGCATGACAGGTTGGTGATTGTTATGTGGCTGGAGGAGTACCTTGTGGCTTTTTGTGGAAGGGCAGGGCTCTGTCTTTCCCTCATTCCATGATACTCTAGAAAGCTAGGGCCTTGTTGAGTATGTTGTAAAGTTTTCCTTTCAGCTAGTGTGTTGCAGATTGTAAAATATTTCTATAAACCTTGAATTACTGATTTCTCACAGTAACCAGTGAAGCAGACAGGAACTTGGATCCTACATCAAATAACTTACCTGAAGTATCTTGGACCTGATCTATTACAGAATTTAAATATCCTAATCCAAGCTTCAGTTCTCAAAACAATGCTTTTCTTACTTAACTCAATAATATGCTAGATACTGTGTATGTCATAATTAAACAAAGGGATAAAATAGTTTATCCTGCATTATGCAAGAAATGTTATAACAAGAAAGGGAGAAATTAAACATAACCAGTTCATCCACATTCTTATAACTCTGGTACAATAACTGCTTTCAATTAAATGATTGAATTTTTCTTTCTTTCACCATTGAAACCAATTCCCAAGTACTCTTACTTTTTCTTCCACACATACTTATATGAGAGAAATACGAAGAAGAAGAAGGATTTTTGTATGCCTAAAAGACCTAGGCAAGCATAGGTGATACTTGAAAACACAATCATAGTGTTTCTCACACTCTAGTTGGTCATAGAATGCCTTATAGATTGCCAAGAGATGCAGACACTGAGCCAGTTCATGAAGGTCATTAGGTTGCTTAACCAGACAGATATGGAAAGGAGCCTGATTTTATTTTCTTAATAAATGTTTCTGTCCCTCTTCATTCGCTATTAAAATTTATAGTCATACACACATAAGCACATATGTATGTATGTAAATTATGCCATTTAAAAACTTTTTTATTGGAAAGTCAGATTTTACAGAAAGAAGGAGAGGCAGAGAGAAAAATCTTCCATTCACTAGTTCACTCTCTAGGTGGGAACAACAGCTGGAGTTGAGTTGATCTGAAGCCAGACATCAGGAGCTTCTCTGGGTCTCCCACGCTTGTGCAGGGTCCCAGGGCTTTGGCCATCCTCTGCTGTTTTCCCAGAACACAAGCAGGGAGCTGGATAGGAAGTGAAACTGCTAGGACAAGAACTAGAGTCCAATGGGATCCTGACACATGCAAGACGAAGACTTCAGCCAGTAGGCTACCATACCATGGTGGGCCCAAATGTATGCCTTTTTAAAGAAAACCATCTCTTTAAAAAAAAAAAAAACCCTGTCATTTGTATTTTTTCTCCTAAATTTGTTTATTTGTTTAAAAGTCAGAACTATACAGAGAGAGGGGTAAAGAGAGATTTTCCATATGCTGGTTAGCTCTGCAAATGACCACAACAGCCAAGGGCTTGGTCAGGCTAAAGCCAGGCACCCGGAGCTGCTTCCGTCTCCGGTGTGGGTAGTAGGGGCTCAAACAATTACACCATCTTCTGCTTTCCCAGACCATAAACAGGAGGCTGGATCAAAAATGGAGCAGCCAGGATTCAAGCTGACATCTATATGTAATACCAATATTGCATGTGGCAAAGTTTCACAGAGGAATTTTCTATCTCCTGGTCCATTCTACAAATGGCCACAATGGCCAGGGCTGGAACAGATCAAAGCCAGGAGTGACAAACTTAATCAGAGCCTCTCATTTGGGTGCGGGGCCCAAGTTCTTGGGGCCATTCCCTACTGCTTTCCTAGGCCAGTGACAGGGAGCTAGATCAGAAGTGAAACAATAAGTCAGTCCCCAAAAGACAAATACCATATGTTTTCTCTAATATAAGGAAATGATCATGCGAATTGGAATGTGTAGTGATGGAGTAATTGAGACTACCATATCCAGATGTGAAGATACAATGCAACATGCATCCCTACTTTCAAATCAAAAATGGACTCCCAGTGAAACTGTTGGGCATTCCTAGAAAATGGGATGATAGACTGTCTGATATTGTCTGTACCAGCAATGTCAGGGCACATTTAAACAACAGACTGATTAAATTATAACTCCTTATGGAGGACTATACTATTGTAACAATATGGGGAAAAATCAGTCAGTGGTGGGAATAGGCATGGGGGGAAATCCCAGACACTACAGAATTGTATCATAATATTCAAAATTTAAACTAAAAAAACAAAAAAATAGGAAAAGAAGTGGACCAGCCAGGTCACAAACCAGCACATATATGGAATACCAACATAGACGTGGTGGTTTATCCTGCCAAGCCACAATGCCAGCCTCCCTCCATTTTTGTATTTTAATTGGAAATTGCTGGTAGAAATAAATGCTGGTCATTTCCAATTATTTATTCCATTCCTGTCACTCTTTGCTCTGACCAGCAGAGCCAGAAATGTGGACAGGGAGACAGAGGGTCTGGGGATGAAGCGCCAACAGTAGAAGTCTCTCTTAAGCCTCCCTTTATTACTCCTTTTATACTCTTTCCCATCCCTCTCACCCCCCAAGTCCTTTAGCCAAAAAGTAGGATGTCAGTGAATCCCATTACTCCAGGTACTTTTAGCCACAATCCTATTTCCTCTTACTGCTCAGCTTAACAAGCGCTAATTAACTCCTTAGCCCACAACTCAAATTTTTACTCATTCCTGAAGTGTTTATTGGATTTATTGTTCATTTTTGCTTTTTCTTAATTGTTTCATTTCCTTTTTTTTTTTTTTTTGGCTCTTTAAACTTTATTTTGTGTGCTTTCAATTATTTTTTTCTTTTTATGTTTCTAATTTTAATAATCTTACATAGTTCATTAGGACACAAAGGGTCAAGGGTTACAGGAAAGTGTGTAAGACGGTTGTTTCCACACTAATATCTTTTTTTCTTTCTGTATCTGGGATAAGGGGAGAAATAAAGGGAGAAGCCCCATTCAACCTCCTACCCATCCCAGGTCCTTGATGGGAGGCACGCTCTGAGGGTCCTGCTCAAGCAGTTTTGATAATTCAACAGGTCTGAATTGCTGCCAATCTCACCGTTCTAATCGCAATGAAACCTATTCAGAATCCACTGGCTGACATAGTCTCTTCATGGTTGGGGTTCTGAGATCAGCAGTTCAGTTGGAGGGATCTCCAAAGAAACTTCATCTGAGATTATCCCAAACCTGATTCTTGTGTGTGCTTGCCAGTACAGGGTCCAGCACAGTCTGTTACCCCAGTCAGCTTATGCCTATGCTGGTGGTTACAATTGCTGGGTCAGTTCTGTTTCCAGCCCTATCTTCCACGTGAACCAATAGTTGTTGTAGTCTAGCCCTATCCTGCACACTTCATACTCAGTCCTCACGGAAACCAGTGGGAGCTGCAGCCTAGTTGGTGGGACTCCCCATAACCCCCACCAAGCCTGCTCCCTACCCTGGTTTCCATGCATGCATGGGAACCTCCGGCTTGTTCAGTCTGTCCCACATCCCATTTAGCTCTGGTACTTGTCAATGGGCATTGAAGCCTAGTTCAGCCCAACCAGCCCTGCTATCCAGCCCACACACATAGCCACTCCTGCCCCTGTCCTGGTTTTTGTGCTCTCCAGTGGAAGTGGTAACCTCTGAGGGAAGTGCCCACTATCTCCCTATGAGGCCACTCCAACTTCTGGATCATGCATTCTCCAGGTGGTTCTGGAGTTTAACCTGACAGAATTAGCCCCCAGTGCTAGCCTCTGCTATCTGATGCTGCAGCAAAGCCCAACCAACCCTCACCCACTCTAATTTTTGCTTGCACCAGTTGGAACAGCCCAATCTGGCCCTTCCCTAATCTAACTCACATGAGGCCCACAGGTGTTGTAGCCCTGTCTGGTCTGGTCTGCCCCCATCCCAGCTCATGCTCTCCAGTGGGCATGGCTGTCCAGCAGGGGAGCCCACATTCCCCTGCCGGCTTTGCCCCTCCCTCCCTGGTTCTCATGTGTGCTATTTGGGCACTGTGGCCACATCTGGTATGGCTCACCTCACCTTGGCTTTCCATAATGTGCACTGGTATGTGTTGCAACTGAATCTGGCCCAGTCCACACTCTGTTCTGCTGTTTGGATTCGCCAGTGGGTGATGTTAACTGGTTCAACCTGGTCTGCCTCTGACCTGTGCCAAATGTATGATGGTGGGTATCTTCCTCTTGCCTGGTCTGGGTTGCTCCCTATCGTGGTTCTTGTGCTTACTTGCAGGGACCCCAACCCAGCAAGGGTGTACTCTCACAGCTCCCCAACCGGGTCTATTCCCAGCCCTAGATTATGCATGTGCCAGTGGTTGCTCTGACACAGTTGACTTGGCCCTTCACCTGTCTCAACCTTTGCCTTTGATGCTGTGGCCTAGTATCCCTGGCTCATGGAGACCAGTCAATGTAAGAGCCTAGCTTGACATGACCTGTGCTCCATCCTGATTTCTGTTCTTCCTTCTGTTTCATTTCTTTACAACTTTCCAGGACTTGAAAGGCCTTATAGAACAATGGTAATAGGTTTAATTTGTGATTTCCAAGGTATTGAATCTGGAACTTTC